CATGCACCTGGAAAAGCTGCAGACACTCAAAAATGCTAGATGGGAAAGCAACCATGAAGGGGTCTGTACCCTGCAAAGCCACAGGGGCAGAGCCGCCCAAGACCATGGGAAACCACCTTTACATCGACATGACCTGGATGTGAGACATGGAGTCAAAGGAGATCATTTTGGAGTTTTAAAATTTGACCACCCACTGGGTTTTAGACTTGCATGGGGCCTGTAGCCCTTTTGTTTTGGACAATTTCTCCCATTGGAATGGGTATATTTACCCAATGCCTGTACCCTCATTGTATCTAGGAAATAACTAACTTGCTTTTGATTTTACAGGCTTATAGGTGGAAGGAAATTGCCTTGTCTCAGATGAGACTTTGGACTGTGGACTTTTGAGTCAATGGTGAAATCAGTTAAGACTTTGGGGGACTGTTGGGAAGGCATGATTGCCTTTGAAATGTGAGGACATGAGATTTGGGAGGGGCTGGGGAGGAATGATATGGTTTGGCTGTGTCCCTACCCAAATCTCACCTTGAATTGTAATAATTTCCACATGTTAAGGTTGAGGCCAGGGGGAGATTATTTAATCATGGGGGCGGTTTCCTCCCATACTGTTGTCATGGTAGTGAATAAGTCTCATGAGATTTGATGGTTTTATAAATGGGAGTTCCCCTGCACAAGCTCTCTTTGCCTGCTGCCATGTAAGATGCGACTTTGCTCTTTCTTCACCTTCCACCATGATTGTGAGGTCTCCCCAGCCATGTGGAACTGTGAGTCTATTAAACATCTTTTCTTTATAAATTACCCAATCTTGGGTATATCTTTATTAACAGCATGAGAACAGACCAATACAAAGTGTGAAAGTGTTGGGTGCTTGAAGGATGGAAGAGAATAGGTACAGAAAGAGAGAAATGTCAAGGACACATCTGTCACACTTGGAAATTTTACCAAGAACCTCCAAACCAGATTGCAAACTCTTGGTTTTCCATTTGCCACAATTGTATCAAGTCACTGTAACTCCAGCAATACCCTTAATAGTCCTGGTTTGACCTTTGGTTGCATGAGTAAGTTAGATCTTGTACTGACTTTGTAATGTGGCTCTAACTATTCACAGACCTTGAAAAATACAATATAATAGTCAATGTTCAGCTAACTTAGAATAATGATAGACATGAAAGATAAACTTAATACTCAATCTGATTATACCAAAGGAAAAAATGTCAGTTTCACTAGTAAATCTTAATACAAGGAAGTGGAAAAGCTGTATCTGTATGAGTTGCATAAAAGTAATGACACAAAAAAGAGATTTGAATTTAATCTTTTCACTAATAATAAATAAAGCACGAAGAAGATAACTTAGACCATTATAAACACGTTGCCTTTTTATTGTACTAAGTTCTTTACATATGCTGTCTCATTGAATAAAACAACAATCCTGCTAATTAGATCATATTATCACTCTACAGAGGAGAAGACTAAAGAGAGGTTTAAGTGGTCTGCCCATGTTTACACTAGACACTGTCAGAACAAAGCCTCAAATGCAGATTTTCTAACACCAGGTCCAGTCTTACTCATAATACACCAAACTGCACACCAACCAAGTTTTCTTGAGGTGCATGAATCCATACTGGGTATATACTCAGAGGAAAACAAATCGTTCTACCAAAAAGACACCTGCACTTGTATGTTTACCACAACACCAATCATGATAGCAAAGGCATGGAATCAACCGAGGTGCCCATCAGTGGTGGACTGGATAAAGAAAATGTGGTACATATATACCATGGAATACTACACAGCCATTAAAAAGAATGAAATCACATCCTTTGCAGCAACATGGATGCAGCTGGAGGTGATTAGCCTAATCAAATTAATGCAGAAACAGAAAAACAAATACTGCATGTCCTCATAAGTCAGAACTCAACATTGTGTACAGATGGACACAAAGATGGAAACAATAGACACTGACGTAAAAGGTAGAGGTTCCTCTTCAAAGACTTTCTTCCCCATCTAATTAGGAATAAATAGTAACTTCCCTTAGAAGCAAAATTTATTCAAAGACCTGTGCTAACATTCTTAAATATCTGCTAGCTGTAATAAAGGAATCAATATACTTTATATTCTTAGCTCCCACAATTTAGCCTAAATATTTGCCCTGGCATGCTTATACTGGTCCAAGCAAGCATTAGGTCCTAGCCTGTTTCTCTTCCTTATTTGAAGACGTTTTTACCTTTCTCAGCATTCCACAAGTTACTTCCTTCTTCCTTTGTTCTACTCTACCTTTGCCTCTTTTAAAAAGTTCTAAGTTACTAGGCAATAGAGACAAATACAGAACGTGAGGTCCCGTTCCAGCCAATGGAAACCAGACACAGCAGTAGGGTGGATGCATCAGGTTATAAATGACCCTGTCTCCTTTGTTCTGTGCACTCTCATGACAAAACTGCTAGCGAGTGTACTCTTTCTGCAGAAAGTGAAAATGGCCTTGCTGAAGAAATTAAATTTATGTTCAAGTACTATTTCTTTACGGCACTGGGGAACAAGTATTTCTAACACTGGGGATTCATGCGAAGGGAGGGAGTGTGGCAAGGGTTGAAACACTAAAAAATTACCTATTGGGTACTATGTTTGCTACTTGAGTGATGGGGTCATCAGAAGCCTGAACCTCTGCATTATGCAAATACTCATGTTAACAAACCTGCGTGTGTATCCCTTGAATCTTAAATATATATATAAATCTAGGGTTACACAGGAGAATAAGCTTTGGGAATAAGCTGTAAGAAATAAAACTTGACTCTTCTAATAGCCTAGGATACTCAAATAGGGCTAAAGTGGCCCCAGTCCATAGCAGTATGTGACCCAAAAGACAAGCAAATGCTAATTATCTCTGGAGGCAGCATGCTCAATTTAGTTTCTCAGACTCCCACAGATGACCTTCAATCACATGTAAGTTCAGAATAAAACTGCCAAACATACGAAGTCGCAAGTCTTAATATGTGTCAGCAGAGAAACAAAACATTCGCTGTAAACCACTGTTAAGTCATATTGGATTTATCTGTTAATTTTGACTGCAAAATATTTCACCATAATTTATTCATCCACTCTTGTCAATGGGCATTTGGTTTCTTTGTTGTTGCTATTGTGAGCAGTTCTACTAAGAACTTTAATGACGTCTCCTGGGGCATTCACGCTATCATTTCCTTAGGTAAAGATCCAGAAGTGGAATTGCTGCTTGAGCATATAATGTGAATCTATCTTAAACTTCACAAGATAATGTAAACCCTCAGTTTCAAAAATAGTTGAAACAATTTATACTCCTACCAGCAATATAAGAGATCCTGTGTAACATTTGTTAATTGTTGTCAATCTACTGAGTCCAAAGTTGTATTTCATTGTGGTCTTTTTTTGAGAGAGTCTTGAGTGCAGTGGCTGATTTCTGCTCACTGCAACCTCTCTCCAGTGTTCAAGTGATTCTAATGCCTCAGCCCCTGAGTAACAGGGATTACAGGTGTGCACCACCATGCCCAGCTAACTTTTTGTATTTTTAGTAGAGACAGGGTTTCACCACGTTGCCCAGGCAGGTCTCGAACTCCTGTCCCAAGTTATTTGCCCACTTCGGCCTCCCAAAGTGCTGGGATTACAGGCATGAGCCACCACGCCCAGCCTCAGTGTGGTCTTGATTTGTAGTTTCTTTGTCTTGATTTGTAGTTTCTTGATGACTAATCAACTTGAACATCTCTTCTTATGCTTATTGGCCATGTTTTTCCAGTCTTTTGCCCATTTTTCAATGGGCTTGTTTGAACTTGGTTTCAATTTTTATTCAACTAGTTGCCTAGTTCATTGCATTATTCTTGGGCAAAGGACAAATTAAATATTCAACATTAGATTCTCTAAATACACCCTGCCTGGAAAATACTCTGGCATTTGTTTATGCTCTTTGTTCCCCAAATTTGGTGTGGCCTTCTTCAGTGGGTCATTAGCTCAGAACAGATGGCACCTATGCTCTTTGAAGATACCCATACACTTGGCTGACAAAATTTGTCCTTCTGTATACCAATAGCATTTGATTTATACCACTCTATTAGAGCAAAGCACATGTGTACAATTACATGTCTTTCCCCTTTCTCTCCTAGAAAAATAGGAGCTTCTTGATGGCAGTAACTTACTCATTTTATCTCTGAATATTCAAAATATGCTTGGAAAAGAGGCATGAAATAAATGTTCAAAATTCAAAAGGGATGACTTTGCTACAGGATCAAATTCCAATGCATTCCATTCACTTTAAACATTTTATTATTATTTTATGTAGAGATGGGGGTCTCACTATGTTGGCCATGCTTGTCTCAAACTCCTGGCCTCCAGCAATCCTACTGCCTCAGCCTTCCCGAAGTGCTGGGATTATAGCCACTCCCACCCTGACCCCCTCATTCACTTTTTAAGTGAGGCATTACAGAGAAGTTTTAAATCAAGTTCTTTAACATTTTTAGTAAGCAATTTTATTACTAATAGTAAACTTCAGAAAATCTTGGTCATTTTCAGTTTGACATATTCTGTTCCAGTTACTGAACCATGTGACCCAGTTTTGGTTTGGAAGATATGATTATTGTCAGGACTGAGTACTTACTATACCACAGAACTCATAGTCACAGACAAAAATAAATATTTCTTGGGTTTGGATAACTATATTTTATAAAGAACAAAACACACACAAAAAAATTACTATGCTACAAGGGAAAATATAAGTTCTATTTAATCAAAGAATTGAGACCACTACAAAAAAAAAAAACAAAAAACAAAAAAAACAAAAACCGAAACCCAAAACCATAAAATATTTAAACAGTTCCATATAAATTAAATACTTAAGGAAGAGTTTTAATTGTCATACAAATATCTACAGTATTTCTATCCTCCATCGGGGCCCTAACCTTCATCCTTAATTTATGTGAAACCCAAAATCACACATTTGGTCATGCAACAAATATTAAGGGTACGGAAGTATGCCAGACTCTATTTCTTTTAAGTAACTCAATTTTTCATTTGCATTAAAGAACACTGAGGTTCTGCGAGTGTCTCACTGTCCTAGAAATTAAACTAACACCAGTATTGTGTACTCACTTGAAGTCTTTATGGAGTAGGAGAAAGTACTTAGAAGTGACATGTCAGCAGAAAGGAACCCGGGTGCCTTCCTGGCAGAAGAGGAGGCAATGTCAAGATCTAGCGGTGCGGAATCCTTCGCCAGTTGGGTTCAAATCTTGGCTCCAGTTCTTGAATCCCTGGGGCTGGGAAACTCCCTTAGAGTGACTTCAGCCCACCACACCAAGGAAGCTAAATGACTTCTCCATGTTTAGAAAAGCTAGAGTGAGACCAAGCGTGGTGGCTCACGCCTGTAATCCCAGCACTTTGGGAGGCGGAGGCGGGTGGCTCACTTGAGGCCAGGAGTTCAAGACCAGCCTGGCCAACATGGTGAAACCCCGTCTCTACTAAAAAATACAAAAACTAGCCGGGCGTGGTGGCGCAGGCCTGTAATCCCAGCTACTAGGGAGGGTGAGGCAGGTGAATCGCTTGAACCCGCGAGGCAGAGGCTGCAGTGAGCCGAGATCATGCCACTGCACTCCAGCCTGGGTGGCAGAGCGAGACTCGCTCTTGAAAAGAAAGGCAAAAAGAAAAACTAGAGAAGAGGCAGATTGGTTAACGCGGCATGGATCACACCGCATCCTGGGGTGCTAAACCTAATGAGAAGTTAGGAAGGACAGAGCTAGGAGTAGAGCGAGGCTGTTAGGCGGAGCTTTACCGGAGGCCGGCACGGCCCCTACGGCCTGCACGCAGGCTGATCACCAGGTCTTCAGCCTCTACCCTTGCCTACTGCAAAGTGTGCTTAACTGGTCGCCCCTGCGCCCCACCTTTCTCCAGGACCCTCACTACACCCCGGGAGTACTGGGTAGGACCACGCGGTTTGCTAATCCCACAGCTGTCTCTCTTACTTTCTCACTGAACTGACTAGAACCTAACCCGCCGCCCGTTTCCTTTCTAGACCCCCAGGCTGCTCTGAACAGGGCCTTTACTCGGAAGCCAGGGCTTATCTTTCGGCTGCGACCGGGTCATTTGTGATAGGAATGACACTGCCCGGAGCGGAGGACTCCTGGCAACTTGGCGACCCGCAGGTGGAGATCTGGCTTTCCATGCCGGCGTGACCCCCACTGCCTGCCTGCCAACTCCACGCCCGCCGCCAGGTGGCCGAGCAGGACGCCACCCGCTCGGCGTAGGCAACTTTACGCAGCTGGCTACCGGAAGGGGCAGGGTGCCGCGAGTTTCGCCCAGCCGCCTTACTCTCAGCATCTGAGCTTGGTCACCTCTCACTCAGGACGTCAGCAATGAATTAAAATAGTACCCAGTAAGACTACAACGCGCCACACTAGGGCTGCATTCAGCGCTTTCGGGCTTGCAGGTAGCGGCGTCCTCCCATTTCCTGCGATCTAGCAGGCCCTGCACACGCACGAACCGCCCTCTGACGCGTGACGCTCACCCCTAAAGGTCGGCGGGAAGTCACCTAAGCCCTGATTTACATGGAAGCCATCCGTAACGTGCTTAAGGGCCAACGACTCGGCCGCTTAAAAACCCATGACCAGTTCTAACACTGGGGCTTTGTAGAAACACTCTTCTAAACAAAATCCGCAGCCTGGATTTTAGGTGCACAGAAGTGGGAGGTCACTACTGCGTTGCACGGCACCTCCCAGGACCCTTCCTAAACACAGGCGGAGTCCCCTCCATGAGGTCTAGTCGTCCCCGCTCCAGCTAAGCCTAATCCCGGGCAGATGATCGGGTCGCGAATGTCCCACTCCCGGTATCCGGAGGGCGGCATCAAAGGGCTGATATTTACCCGGTATCTAGGAAGTGTTAACAGCTCTTTCTGTGACAATTTGGGGGCCCTGAAAAGGGCCTTTTGGAGTCTGGAGAGAAGCTGTGGGGACAGCTCAGCCGCCGAAACCATAGAGGGTGCGACCCTGGCGTTTCAGCGCGTACACCACATCCATGGCAGTGACGGTCTTGCGCTTGGCATGCTCCGTGTAAGTCACCGCGTCGCGGATCACGTTCTCCAGGAAGACTTTGAGGACTCCCCGGGTCTCCTCGTAGATGAGACCAGAGATGCGCTTGACGCCCCCACGTCGGGCGAGACGGCGAATCGCGGGCTTTGTAATGCCTTGGATATTGTCCCGCAACACCTTCCGGTGGCGCTTGGCGCCTCCCTTACCCAGCCCCTTGCCGCCTTTACCGCGCCCAGACATTCTGAAGTCACAGCTCCTACTTAGCAGAAAACCGGGCAGCCCACTGTGATTGCCGGGCGCAGACCAGGGCTTATAGGCTCTCGATGCGGACCTGTTTGAAAACATGAAAAAGTGGGAGGAGCTCTAGGCCCCACCTCTAGAGACATGCTATAGTTGTTAAATCCAGGAAGCAGTCAACGAAACCAGCCTGATTTTTTTGTTGTTTGCTCTTTTGGGAAAACTTTTTCTGATATTTGGAGAAAGGTTCATGGTGATACATTTTAAAGTTAAAACAGTATGAGCTAATAGAATTTATATTGCCTTTTTTCAGCCCTTAAATAAAAATAGGCCAGATCCTATGAACGTTCCTTGTTCTGTCTCTCCCTCCCTCCCTCCTTCTAATCATGTTTTTCCAAACGGAATTCCTGACTTACTGTGAAACTCAATAAAAACCTGAAAAGCTTTACGTCTGAGATTGCAAAGCAATTACTTAAAAATTTTCACATGTGGGTCTTTTAAAGACATAGTAGGGGGAGAGGACTTTTTTTTCCCTCTTTTGCGGCCCTGCAGAGAATTAAGATACTTTCAATTGAAAAAAAACAAGCCCAGCTTCCCGGCCCCCACCTACACTCCACCCCCACCTCCCCCAACCCCCGCCATTCCCCTTTCAGCTGCTTCTGCGCAATTTGCAGGTTTTCCTGCCCTGCAAGAGCCTGTGTGCTTTTCAACTAAGTAACTTCCTATGGTTATTTAGTTGAAATATTGTAAATGTCTTATGTCATTCAAATCTCAGGTTCTCATCTCACATTTTCCACTTAAAAATTCAAAGTTCTTGTAAAATAGTGGATGCCACAATCATGACTTGGAATAATGATTTCTACTGCAAATCCCCTCAGGAGGTTCTGAATCCCTTCCTTTCTCAAGAGAATCCCTGAACAAAAACGAAAGTTTCTGTGAGGTGTCACCGGTCTTCGAAGGTGTCAGGACCCTGTCTTCTCTAAAGGTCTGACTGTGTTAAAAAGCAGCTGTTATTTAGAGGATGATTCATAAGTCTTTCCCCAGGTACTTAATTAAGATTCTGAGCAATGTATTTTAGTAAGTGGGGCTCTTTGTACCTGGTCTTGAAGATAAGCCTTTACAGCAGGAAGGCTTTATGGTAAATTTTTATTATATTTCTAAATGCTTATAGTTAACATTTGTTTCAATCTTTACCCATCTTCATAACCCAAAAGGTATTTCTTTTTCTTTTACTTTTTGTTAAAGATAAAAGAGTTGGAACACTTTCTTGAATGGCTGGAAAAAGTCCTGCATGGTCGAACTTCACTCCATGATTTTAATACTTTACTCAGAGGGAAGAGGAAAAGTCTATCAGATCTTGAAGGGATAAGAATTATTGTAATGGGGCTGGGCGCGGTGGCTCATGCCTGTAATCCCAGATCTTTGGGAGGTCGGATCACGAGGTCAGGAGATCGAGACCATCCTGGCTAACATGGTGAAACCCCGTCTCTACTAAAAATACTTAAAAATTAGCCGGGCGTGGTGGCGGGCGCCTGTAGTCCCAGCTGCTAGAGAGGTTGAGGCACGAGAATGGCGTGAACCCGGGTGGCGGAGCTTGCAGTGAGCCGAGATCTCGCCACTGCACTCCAGCCTGGGCGACAGAGCAAGACTCTGTCTCAAATATATATATATATATATAAATGGTAAAATAGGTTGACTTACTTATACTCACTTTCTAAGAAATCAAGGCTAGAATATTTTCAAATCAGAAATCTCTTGCTTATTAGAATAAAAGAAAAAAATCGTGTCCAAAATAGTAATAGTCTCAAAAACTCCTGAAAATTCCATCCATGATACAGGCGAAAATTTAAGCTAGTTTACAGAACTCATTCCAGGAACATCTCGTTAAAAACTGTATCAGAGATTTGTACGTCCATTTATTTGGTATATCTAAGAGTTGTTGGATGCTTACTAACGTATTTAATTTTCAAAACACTTTGATACAGATACAGGAGTCAAATAACTTATCCAAGATCACTGCTTAGTGGTGAAGCCAGGATGTAGGCTGAGGCAGTCTGGCTCCAGAAAGGCCGCCTTTATAAAGCATGACAATAGCTCTGAAGACATTTATTGAGTCCCCAGTATGGGTTAATCATTGTTCTAGGCAGTAATGACATTTACATAAATACTTGAAAATGTTATTTCAATGAAGTCAAATCTTTATTCGGATAGGGAGAAGGTAAATTTGTTTTACTTTAAATGAATCCACGTAAAATGTTTATTTTAAAAAGCAAGTGTTCAACATTACATCACGTATCGATGTTAACTGTGTTACTGAAAATGTTCAGGTAAAAATGAACTGACCTCGATGAAGTAGTAGAAAGTAATTTCTAACTAAAATAAAACAAAATACTTTAAACAAAACACTTTTTTTGTTTCAAAAAGCGTGGGTCCACAATTCAGGTATGTAAGAATAAACTGCCATTCTGACTTTAGTCTCTGGGCTCATTTACAAAGAGACCCGGGGGACCTCCACGTCCTCGTAGAGGACCCGATCCGCTGATCTGCGGCGCCCTGGCTTGCGCGGAGCAAGCGAAGGCCAAGACTTCGGCCTCTCCAATAAAACCTAGTGGCTCTTTGCAGGCCCATAGCCTCAAAGACAAAAGATATTTTGGCTAGGCGAGCTTGTTCCTCCCGTCAGCGCACGAAGTATTCACGTCTGGCCATCATTAGCTTCAAAGACTTAAAAGTGAACGATTGGCTGGCTGTGACCCGCAGGACCCAGCAGGGAGACCAGTGCGGTCTCCACACCGTTGGGTAGCTGCAGGCAAGGCTCTTGTATAAGAAACAGCCCACGGACCCTGTCCTGGGCAGGCAGAATTCCGCAGAGAGGCTGTTGTTTCGCCTAAGCAGCACGGGCTGCCGAGACAGAAACCTACCTGACTAGTATGGTGTATTATATGAGACCATCCACTTAGCATAGCAACGTCTACGGATAACCCCTGTAGCTCTTCTTCTGGATTGCTTTCTGTTTCCAACCATGTTTTCTTATTTCCTACTAGTTTATTTGCTTGGGAGCGAGCGTGGTCGTGGAAAACCCATAACCGCTAAATTCATCTGGGTCCCCAAACGCGGAGCGGGCTGGCCTCGGTATTTATGTGAGCGGCTATATAAATGAGGATTCGGAGTTTGCTCTATTGATTGGAGAGAGCTGGAGGAGGCGGTCTCTCTTCCAGAGCGCTAGTTGGGAGCGGCGCCTGCCTGTCATTGGTCACCAGAGCCAATGGGAAGGGGCTGCCCCGCGGCCGCAAAGAGTTTGTAGAGGCAGTTCGGAGGCGGTACGTTGCATTCCGGTACCGGACGCCGAGAGCGGTTTGTCTCCGTCTC